GTTTCAGGGATTTAGTGCTTGGGGTTTGGGATTTTAGGCTTTAAGGTTTAGGGAGGTTTAGGGTTAAGGTTTCAGGGATTTAGTTTTTAGGGCTTAGGGAAGTTTAGGGTTTCGGTTTCAGGGATTTAGTTTTTAGGGTTTAGGTTGCAAAGGTAGGCTGCAAGGTAGGCGAAGAGGTTCATGGCTTTGGCGACTGAAGCCGCAAAAGAAAAGCCAAAACCAAGACCCCACGCCCTACACCTTTGAACAAACCCTAAACCCTACCCTACACCCAAGGCCACAACTCTAATTATACCCAATGCCCTCTTCCCCAAACCATACACCCTAATCCTAAACCAGACCAAACCAACCCTGCAACTAACTCCCACCAAAAGATCCCAACCCCCTGAATCACTAAACCCTAAACCCTAAACTAAACCGTAACTCCTAAACCACCCCTCCACACCACAGACACAAGCATACAGTACCCAAGAGTGCTCATCCAGGAAGCAGAAGCAAACTAACTCCGAAGACCATTCCCTAAAACACCGTAGCATGAGCAGCTTCTTGGAGGGGCAGGGGACTTAGTAAGTAGCTTATAAGTAGGGCTATAATTGGGGTAACTCCATTTAGGGTGCTTATAACTCTACTTATAACCTACTTACTAAACCCTAAACCCTAAACCCTAACCCTAAACCCTAAACCCTAAACCCTAAACACTAAACCCTAAACCCTAAACCCTAAACCCTAAACCCTACTTACTAAGTCCCCTGCCCTTCCAAGTTGGGGAAGCCTAAGGCCCCCAACACACAACTCGACGAGCAAAAACAGGAACGACAAGAAAAAAAAAAAAAAAGCACGTAAACTAGACCCAAGAGTAACCTAGGAATAAAAAGGGTGCCCTTTTTGGTTTAAAGGGGCTTTATAAGGGAACCTGAACCCCAAAAAAGGGAATACGGGCCTACTCTGGGTCCTAGTAAAACCGTAGATCCACTACACGCACGCCCTGACACCCGAAATCCAGTAAAGTCCTGAGCCAAACCTGAAACCTCCAATAAACCCTGAGCCCAGCTCCCAACCACCCAACCCCGAAAATAACCTTAGCCTCAAATCCCAAACCACCGAATACTGCTACTATTGCTCCTCCACCTCCTGCTACTAGTACTACGACGACGACTACTACCACTGTAAGTAGTCTCCGAGGAGCTCTCAACCACCTCGGGGTCTGCCTGCGCGCAGGATTTTCTAGGGCTGCTTCGGGCCTTTTTTTTCAGGGTTGGCTCGGTTGAGAAGTAGGGGCTTGAGGGTGTGAGGTTTACGTATCTAGCTTGTGCGGGTTTCTTGCAGCTTCTGGGTGCGGTTAGGACAGTTGTGCTGTTGTTGAAAGCCTTCTGGGGTTCTACACGGTTTCAAAAGCATCGTTGGAATCGGCCTGGACCTTAATCTATCTCCCAATTGACTCGCATCTACTGTAAGAGCTACAGGTGTCGGGTTCAATGGACTCGGGCACGAGAGTGTAAAATAGAAGCCAGTTCTTTCCAATGCTGTTCCTTAGGCTTCCGATCATCATTGCAGTGCATGTATGCGTGTGTGTGTGTGTATGTATATATATATATATGTATATATATATATATATATATGTATATATATATATATATGTATAAATATATATATATATACAGATGATATAGACATATGCAGCCATTCTAATACGTAAAAACATGTATCAGGGCTTGCGGTTTCGAGAAGTAAGGCTTTGGGGCCGGGACCGGGGCTCTTGCTTCGAGTCGCCAAGAGGAGCATCGCATATACCCGACACGCAAGCTCTCTTCCAACACCGGCCAGCCTGATCACCCAGACTCTTCATACGGATGAGCTCCTGGCTTTGACGTGGAGCTGGTGATGAATTCAAGCTGAGCTCTGGGCTACCATAAGGGGTCCCAGTAAATCCGAAGACCTTGCATATAATGGAAGTTGAGGCTCAATGCTTTACTCTTGTAGATGTAGGAGTTTCCGAAGAATTGGGTAACCCTAAGACAGCACCCTAAATAATAGGATCCCTACTATATATAAGGACCCCAAACTAAGGTGCCCCGAATTTTCGGAAACTCCCATGGTAGGTCGATGTATCGGAGGGAAAAAGATCAAATCGTGGTGCCCCTTTTCTTCGAGACCCAGGCGATATCGGGATTTGGGTTTTGGGTTTAGGGGTTTAGGGTTTTGGGGTTAGGGGTTTTGGGGTTTTGGGGTTTTGGGTGTTGGGGTTTAGGGTTTAGGGTTTTGGGTTTTGGGGTTTGGGGTTTAGGCGTTTAGGGTTTAGGGTTTTGGGGTTTTGGGTGTTGGGGTTTTGGGGTTTAGGGTTTAGGGTTTTGGGTGTTGGGGTTTGGGTGTTGGGGTTTACGGGTTTAGGGTTTAGGGTTTAGGGTTTTGGGTTTTGGGTGTTGGGGTTTAGGGGTTTAGGGTTTTGGGTTTGGGGGGTTAGGGTTTAGGGTTTAGGGGTTTTAGGGTTTAGGGTTTTGGGTGTTGGGGTTTAGGCGTTTAGGGTTTAGAGTTTTGGGTTTTGGGTTTCGGGTTTAGGGTTTTGGGGTTTAGGCGTTTAGGGTTTTGGGTTTGGGGGGTTAGGGTTTAGGGTTTAGGGGTTTCGGGGTTTTGGGGTTTAGGGTCGGACCCGATAATCCCAAACCGTACTACGCCCCATAATGTTGACCTGGACCCTAAAAACCCTTCCTTCTTGAGATTCCCTGTTATGGTTTCCTTACAAAAGTCCTTAAAAGCGGGGGTAGGTATTTTGGGGTCTGGGGAGGCCTGAATTATGAAAATAGGGTTTTTGGGCCCTCGGTTGTAGTATAGTTATATTCTGGAACCCTAAGGAAGAATAGATATAGGTGACTACTTGGGCTTCTGTATTCATAACCACCACTCCCAGTCTGTTTCAGCAGATGACTAGCCAACCTCTCCCAGTCGACCCTACACCCCCCCAAACCCTTAAAGGGAGGCCTACTATAGAACCCCATAGTACCTTAGAAGCTGCCCCCACCCTGTAATAGTGGCATAATAGGAATATAATAGGGCCCTACTATAATCCTTATAGTCACTATTACAGGGTGGGGGCAGCTTCTAAATAGTACCCTTAAACGGACCCCTAAACCGGCCGGCCTCAACACAAATCACCAGAGCGACCAAAACACGTGAGGCCTGGAGGCCTATACCGCAGCACACAGCATCAAAGCCCGAAAAGTCTGGACTGTCTGGATGCCTCTTGGGTACAAGACAGGGTTTAGGGTTTAGGGTTCAGGGTTTAGGGTTTAAAAAGGGTTTAGGGTTTAGGGTTTAGGGGTCATCAAGCAGGTGGCTGGGTTGGCAAGCGATTGTATCCACGTCGAGCGGACACCCACCATGCCAAGGATGCTCTGCTGGCCAACCCTCCCCATTCTACGTGACGTTCACTCAGTCAAAGGGGACAAGGAGGGACCCTTAAGGGGGACCCCTACCCTATAATGGGCTATATTAAGAGTATATAGCTAGGGGTCCTTTTTAAGGGTCCCTCCTTTTACCCTTGGACTCAGCATGTGCAACAGAGACTGCACATGCACTGACCACATGAGCTATCCAGCCTCGGAAGGAGGCAAATCGGCTACATCCGCACCGGCGGAGATAAGGGCCTCGCACTCCAGGGCTTCAGCGCGGCCTTTGAATTCAAGTGCCGTCGCCAGAGACCCCAATATCCCGTAATTAAGGAATATACCTTAAACTATAGTAGGATCCCTTATATGATTTAAGGAATCTTCCTTACTTAAGGGATATTGGAGTCTCTGGGTCGCAACTGTCGGGTCAGGTGCTGCTCCTGAGAACTCCTGGCCACGCATACGGCTGGGGGGGAGGCAATCCAAGTAGGCAGAAGTTGACGGTTTAGGGTTTAGGGTTTAGGGTTTAGGGTTTGACGCCCATGTTCTGCAATAATTCCCCAAATAGTGTGGCGATATGAACGGCCTGAAGACACCTAACCTTTATTCCCTAAGCACCCTAAACCATTATATAAGCCCTCAGCCCTAAGCACCGGAATACCTTGAACCCCTAAGCACCCGAAACCCCGAAACCCTAAATTGTCCCTCAGAAAACGAAACCCCAAAAAAACCTAACCACCCTGAAGCCCCTAGACGCCCTAAATGCTGTGAAGACTCTAACCGCCTGAGCACCCCAAACCCCCTACCAAAATTGAACCCCCCCCCCCGGTGCAAATTTAGTTTAAGTTTAATGTGGCTTTATTAAGAAGGGCTGGGGCCCCCAATCCCCAACCAGCCGACCTCCTCAGGTAAACACCCTACACGAAAGATCTTTAGGGCTCATTTGGGTACAGAAGGCGTGCACAGGGACCTACCTTGGCCACGATCGTCATCGTCATCATCATCCCCGGCATGTTTATGATCGTACTTATCTTCACCGGCATGAACTACATCAGCACCACGTTGGTCGCTATCCCACTACCCTAAACCCTGGAGGCCGAACCTCATGCCTACATTCCCAATCCTCATCCCTAAAACCCTCAACCTGCTGAACCCCACTCCTAAAACCCTAAACCCTAAACCCCTGAACCCTAAACCTAAAATCCCTAAACCCTAAACCCTAAACCTAAAATCCCTAAACCGCGGCAGCCGCAGAGAGAGCTCCTTGAGGCGGCGCACCTCCCAGGAGACGTAGCCTGAACTTCTGGGGCTCGGTGCTCTTCTGGGGATTTGGGGTTGGGGGTTTAGGGTTTAGGGTTTAGGGTTTAGGGATTTTAGGGTTTAGGGTTTAGGGTTTAGGGGGGAGGGGGGGGGAGTTGGGGGCTTAGGGTGGGGGTTCGGGGTTGAGGAGTAACTAGAAGATGAAATATGGCTTTCTATTCGGGCTTTGTAAGGGCCGCAAGAGGACTTCATGAAGTGCTACAGTGTTGCATATGTGGATGTACAGGTTGCTACAAGGACTTCGCGGGGTCAGAATAGGCATAGGTGTCTTAGCGAGTCTTCATTGAATCTTCCTAGCTACCAGACCCCCAAAATCCCTAGATAACAGGTGCCTGTCTGTATCTCTTCGCGGCAGAGTTGTTCCTGCACGAGCTGCGTCGCCTCAACAGGAAGTCGGCACGAGGAGTTCCAGGATTGAGGGTAGGAACTGCGGTTCTAAGTTTTATGGGGTCTGGGGTAGAGTATAGGGTTACGGGATTTAAGGCTTAAAGGGTAGGATACTATAATTTAGGGTATATTCACCTGTTTTCAAGGGTCTCCAGACCGTAATAACCCTAACTCTAAACTCGAAACCCGCAACCGTCTAAACTCTAAACCCTCGACCTGAAAAATTTCAGGGTGCCCGACTAAGAATCCTCCAAGTATGGAGCCTGAAGCCCTTTCACACCCCGTGAGCACCCTTTGAATCGCTCTCAAATTCCTTCTAGCCACTAAGGACCCCTATAAACCCTTGCAGTGTAACCCTGCGAGACCACATAAAACCCATGAAACCCCAAACCCTACTACGAAGCCCCACCCCTCCCAAAAAAAAATGATCGAAGATCCCCGTAAGCAGGCCTCGCCGAGGACGCGAACCCGAGCTTCTAAACGGCTTACGATCTTCGAGTCCAGGACGTGCCTGGTCTGTTTAATGCACAGGTGATCCCTAAGGCCTCTATAGTAGGTTTCTTAAGTTTAGGGCTGAAGATCCAAAAATCTAGGGTTTAGGGTTTAGGGTGTGGGGTTGGAGGGTGCTGAGGGAATAAAGAGGGTTCAGTAGGTTTTAGGAAACCCCTCCAAACCCAAACTCCAAAACCCTTGATACGAGTACTTAACCTTGGCAAGTAGGTAATCCGTGACCCTTCCAGTGAAAGTTCAACACCCAGATGTATTACATGTCATACAGTAGATATTTTACACTTTAAATGTAAAGGATCTAATGTATGACATGTAATACATGATATATGGCATACCATCTTTGACATAACCGGTCACATCAACCCTAAACCTTAAACCCTAAACCTTGAACCTTACAAACCCTAAACCCTAAACCCTACAAACCTTTAACCCTAAACCCTAATTAGAAACCCTAAACCCTGCAAACCCTTAAAGCCCTATAAGCCCTACAAACCCTTAAACAAATCCATAAGCCCTGAAACCGTTAAATGAAGCACAGCGCTCTGGGCCCGATGCCCCTACTTAAAGGATCATGGGACTTAGTAACATAGGGTTATATATAAGGTAACTATACTTATAAATACTTACAACCCCAATTAGGGGACTTATATCCTTACTTACTAAGTCCCCTGATCCTCCAAGTTAATGCCAAAACAACAAACCCAACACCCACGCTTTAGGGTTTAGGGCTTATAGGATTTTTAGGGCTTATAGGGCTTTTAGGGTTTACAAGGGCTTGTAGGGTTTATAGGATTTTTTAGGTTTACAGGGCTTTTAGGTTTTATAAGGCTTTTAGGGTTTTTAGGGTTTATAGGATTTAAAAGGTTTTTTAGGGTTCATGAGATTTTATAGGGTTTGTGGTTCAGGGTTTAGGGTAACTGCGGAAGTGCTCCAGGTCTTGGAGAGACCAGCTGGGACTGCGTGGTGTTCGGCCGTGTCGCCGACAGATGCAGTGTTGCCTGCTGTGGCTCAAGTGAAGCTCAGCAAGAGGCGACGGTCCCAAAGTAAATGATAAGCGTAGTTATCCTTGAGATGGAGCTTGGAAGATTCCTTTGAGATCGCATAGCAAGCTCGATGTAAAGATTTCCTCGAGGATCTAACTTCGTCTTTTGCAGTGCAGAGAAAATCCCAGTGCATCTCATCCGCGGCCCATTGCTTCCTGTGACCTTGGCCTTTCATTCTGGGAATCGCAGGTTGGATTTCGGGCATTGTTGGGAAGAATCTGGATTTGAGATTGAGATTGATTACGAGTACACCGTCGAATTCAGGTGTATTCCGCAGGTTATGAGCGCCCAAGCCGCTACCGCGGGTGCAAGCTCTCAAGAGGATACATCAACGACAGCTGCATCAGCAGTGTCTTCGGACCGGGCAGGCGTCGGAGCCGGAGCTCCTGAAATGCCTCGTCCACAGGATCTCGCAAGGGCGGAGCAGCAATTAGCAGATCAGGGCATTGATCTACCAAGTACGCTGCAGGGCCCGAGCAGACCCTTACATATGATAGCAGAGGCGGAATCGGTGAATTCTGGGGCTGCTGCTGAGCATCAGACCGAAGGAGCCGCGGCACAGGTCATTCAGACTGCAGGCCAAACAGGCGCTGCAAATGGAGAACGACAAGCTGTGACTCCCGCTCATGATTCGCAAGCAGGGCAAAGAAGCACTGAAACCGCAGAACCTATGTTCGCATCTCCAGTGTCTCATCGGACATTGGCAAGTTTGTTTGCATCCCCACTCCCGTCGCCACCATCCGCACCGTCACCGGGACAGATACCTCGTGGAATGCGATGGCTGCAAGGCATGGGCTCTTTCTTCCAGTCGAGGGAAGAGGATACACGCTCTGCGAGCTTGGTGTCGGCGCCGCCGGCTATGGTACCAAGTGGGGCTGCACCCAGCGTTACTCGAGACCAATCGGCCACACCACTGTTCTCGCCATCTGCGCAGGCGCAGCTTCGACGACATCAGCAAGATGCCCCGCATTTGTATGGCGAAGGTGGAGTTCAGCAGGTCAGTTGGGAGGCTGGTGGACCGCCATCGTCGCACTCAAGCTTGCCAATGGAAGCGATTCAAGCCGAGGTAGCTCGACAGTTAGAGGGTCTGTAGGACGTGTACAGAAGGCGGAAAGGGAGAACGATGTTCTCCGAGATCGTCTAGCTTCCTTGGCAACTCCACGTAATGCAGTTCTAGAACAGGGTGCGAATGAGAATCCGGACCTCAGTGAAGGACCTCCTCATGTTAATTTGACTCCGGCTTATCTGGCATCGCTGCCCCCTCAGCTCGCAATGAGAACCCTAGAGGAAAAAGTAGCTAAAGAGGTGAGGTACTGGGCCCCGGAGCATGTAGGAGTCGTTGTGGACGTTCTGTTGCAAATGCCGCCTGCAGAGCTCCTGGAGCTTCTGCATCACCCAGGCTTGCTTCGTGAGCAAGTGGCGGCAGTGCAAGGAGTGTTGGGTTTGTCGCCGTCAGCAGCAGTATTACAGACGCAAGCCCCCAATCTTCAGCCCGTAAGAAACCCCATGAGAAGCCTAGCAGCTCCGACTGGACCGGGGCAAGCAAGAGAGCCGCCTCGAGAATCTTTGGCACAGCCATCTTGGAGGAGCTCAGCTGCCCAGGCGTTCTCCAGCTTTGTGTCAGCTTTGCCTAGTAGAGTTGGGGTAGGGTCTGGGTCGATTGGATTTGGGAATGAGGTTGGTGGTTCAAGGTTTGGTGGCTCAAGGTTCGGCGTGGACCGCCAAAGGAATCTGGCGGATGTAGGAACGGAAGAGGATAGCACGATAAGTCGTGCGCCGCCACTAGCCACCCAGGACCAAACTATGCCACAGGACCGCGCAGGCATTACCCAGTCATCCGGAGTAGGACCTATTTCTGAAACAACTGAGACTAGATCGTATCTAGAACCGGCTCAAGCGAATCCTCAACAGGCGACGGGAAGTTTGCAAACAGCAATGCCAGTCAGTCCTGCTAAGGGCGTACAGAGAGCCACGGGTTCTCAGGGTTGGAATTTGGCAGGGTTGTTAGGACAGGGCTTGTCGGGGTCAGTGTCTCGGGGTTTAGGGTCGGTAGGATTGCCTTTCGCCTCTCGGGATCAAGTGGAGTCCTCGACGACTCAGCGCTTTACGGATGGCCGGGAAGGGCAGGGTTTATCGGGTTTAGGATTGCTAGGCGTAGGACCGGAGGAAAGACATCAAGGTGCAAGAGCAACGTTTCCAGAAATCAATCAGCCTCCAACCCCCGTCTTTAGCTTATCTGATCCCAGTCTTCGAACGATCCCACCAAGAACCTCAACTCCCCAAGCCACCCCAAGTCTGTTGGAAGCGTTAGCGCAGGGTGTATGCCAACTTCAAGACCTCCAAAGGGCCGCGATGGAATCAAAATCCCCAACAGGTAGCGAGGCTGAAACTGTGAAGTTCTCCAAGTCGGAGTTACCCTCACTGCCAGACGTAAACGCGGATGATTCTTCGATAAGGTTCTCTGATTGGCTTCGGTTGGTTAGGAGTCTAGTAGAAGATGCTTCTTTGACCAGTGCAGCTTGGTGGCAACACATCTTGAAAGAAGCCAACGAAGCGTATGAAACATGGCAGGCATGCGACCCCCTTCGTCGTTTGAGCATCGAGCCACAAGCCAAGGAGTCTCAAAATCCTAAGTGGGTACGCTTGAATGCTCGCATGTCTAGCATGGTGTATGCCGTGATGTCGCCAGCTTTGCGAGCCGATGCAACATCCCGCAGAGTAACATCTTCAACGCTGCACTTGGTGTTTCGATTGCTGCTGCACTTTCAACCGGGCGGCGCTACTGAACGAGCTACGATTTTAGCTAAACTTCAAACGCCAGGTGCTGCCAAAACTCCCGATGAGGCTCTGTCAAGCCTTCGTCGCTGGTCGGATTGGTGGAATCGTCTCACCGAAACAGGGATGACGGAACCAGACCCATCAGTGATAGTCAGAGCTTTGTTGTCGATTGTTGAACGACCATTGCAATCAGCCCCTGAAGTACTCTTTCGGACGCAGGTCGCTAGATCAGCTCTGTGCATAGACCAACGCCCAACACTTCAACAGGCTCTGAGCTTCCATAGGCATCTGTTAGCGGAGTTTGAACAGTTCTGTTTGTCTGTAGGTGGTTCGCAAGATGGTCCGAAGGTGAGGCTCGCTCAGGTGAACCAGGAAACCATCCAGAAAGGCAAGCCTAATTGTAAGTATTATTTGTCCAATGCAGGGTGTAAGAAGGGTTTGAGTTGCCAATACAAGCATTCCATGCAGGATCTTCCAAAGGAGGCGAGGGCGCGCAAATGCTTAAGATGTGGGTCTGAAGCCCATCGTGCAAAGCAATGTCCACATCCTGGGAAAGGTGATAAGCAAAATTCTGATAAAGAAGGCGCTAATGCTAACAGAGGCGGTCCTGTGTCACCTACTTCAACATCTCCTGAAAGCTCACCGGCGAAAGGTGCGGCGGCTAGAAAGGCGCAGAAACAACAGGAGCTTCAGCAGCAGCAGGCCCAAGCATCAACAGCAGCGTCATCGGGAGCGCAGGAGCAGATTAACCAGAGCGTTACATCCGTTGCAGCTAATGCTGGAGTTCATGGTGTGGGGCAACAAGCGTCAACACCTTCCGGTAATTCACCTGTGCAGGTTGGAACCCAAGCAAGCCCCGGAATTTACCTAATCCAAGCACCTGCTTCAGCTGCAGCAGCTTCGCAGCAAGTTGCAGGGTCGACACCGGCACAGGCGCATGTGGCTGCCATGCAGGCGTCAACACCGACAGTTGACCCTCTTGCAATAACGCGTCTCTTGCAGCAAATAGGACTCAACCCAGTGGATGCTTCAGCAGGACGGACAGGACAGGATCAAGGTCCAAGGTTGAATGCGTTAGTCGTGTCTAGCCGTATGCCAATTCAGGAGGAGACACCGACAGGGTGCATGAGGGAACTCGGTCAAGGTTTCAACAAGTGTAGCTCTTTAGAGGCCCCGTCTC